TCTTGGATTAAAACACAGGGGAAAAAGTCAGCCTGAATTTACTTAGGGACTTGGGGGATTAAAATCTAATTTTTTAAAATGCAAATCGGGTTTCTCTATGGGATTTTTTGTGTACATATATATTGTAACTTACAAATAGTGCCCCTCCCCCTTCTTTGTGATATAATTGATCTTACAACGTAACTACAGTTTATTTGATCAATGAAATATTAAAGGTTATGGCTCAAATTAAGTTTAAAAAGTCCATAAAAACTTTAAAACCTTTCTTGAAAAGTTTGTTCAAGAGTAATAAAATTAATTCGTCAATTTTGAATCAATGCTAAGGAAATAAAATTGCTCTTTGAAAGCGTTTTAAAAGTTCATTCTATTCTTAACTTTGCTTTGAAGCTAGATAGTCTTTAGAAAGGGAGCATTCATAATTTAATGTTGTAAGAAATACAAATAAGTCATATCACCTATTCGAATGGGTGATATCACCAATCAAAATTGAATAGGTGATATCACCTATTTGAATATGTGATATCACCAATTCGAATAAGTGATATCACCAATTCAAATGGATGTTATCACCTATGTAATGGATAAATAACGATATGGTGTTGAATAGTTTAGAGAAAACATTCCCTCCGAGGGCAGAAGGTCCGATGAGGGGATGTTTTCTCTAAACTATTCAGCACTGTCGAGTTATTTATCTTACTTAAAAAACTTCCCCACTTTGGACCCCAAAGAAACATTGACCCATTCATATATCCACCTTTGCTGCAATAGATTGGGATCTAGCCCATTTAGATATCCAACAGTGATACAATACAATAGCCTAATCGAACACCCATTTTATTCATGGACTAGTGATCATGAAACTGCATAGTGCTAATGTCATTTTCATTGTTCTGAACAGTCATGAAATCAGATGAAGAATAGTTTTAAATCCAAAGTAAATTTGGAGAGGTTCAGATAGTGTTTTGAATACTTAAATTTTGACCTGAAAGCAGAAGAAACTACAGAATTTTGATAAAAGGTTGGATATATATCATTACATATAAGAGGAACAGTGTTGGAATCTTATGGAGTTCCATTTGGACAATACATCTAGTACTGCTAAAACAGATGAAAAGATTGTCGGTGCATGTTATGCGGAACCTGCTTTATAAATATTCCATATCAAGATCTGGAATAAAAAAGGTGAAAAAATAGATGGGCTTTCAATTTATTAAACTGTTTTGGGAAGTACGCTGGAAAAGTATGAGAACAGAGATGAACCTCGAAAAATATGAGAGGATTTGCTGATAACGGACCACTGAAATAATATTCAGCAAAAGGAAGTGATGTGGTTTAAGGTTCAAGGTGAAAATGTATTAATAAGCGTGTCAAAAAGTTATGCTTTCAAAATTTAAGACCGCAAACATTCTGTTAAATAATTAAGTATTGTATATTTTATTGACGACAAGAGTCTAATAGTGTGCAAAATTCGGAGGAATTGTAATTTTTGTGAGCATTGGAAGTACATTTTTAACACGATTCTAATGGTATAAAAAATGCGAAGTGATTAATTCTGTGTACATTGGACATAAATTCTAATAGTGTGACAAATTCGGAGTAATTATTTTTTTTTTATATGCATTGGAAATACATTTTAACCCTTTTATCTCTTTTGTTCATTGCTTCATTATGTTTGTATGCCACTTGGATATTTAAATATCCAACAGTTAGGCAGTTGGATATCTGAATATCCAAATGATGGCCAGTTGGATCTTTATATATCCAACTAGACAAAAGTGATGGTTGAATCTGTAAAATATACGTAGACTAATAACAATGGGTGACGTCATTGAAGTTTTTTAATTTATTCGAATGAGTGATATCACTTATTCGAATAGGTGATATTACCTATTCGAATAGGTGATATCACTAAATGGCAATAAATACCAAAACGGCGTCTCATAGATCCAGAGGTTACAGTGGAAAAAATCGTTTGGATGAATAAGCACAGTCCGAATTTTCTTTTCGCCCAGGCGTTGTCGTAAGAGCTCGCTGCGCTCGCTTTTATAAAAATGTAAAAGAAAGTATTATTTGAATTCGAAATAAATATTCACGTTTCAATATTAAGGACGCAATGTAAGAGGTTTTAGCAGTACATTGCTACAATTTCTAAATTTGTTAAATGATTGTGGCAATTTTATTTTCATGCTTGCTGAAAATTTATATTTGTATATAACTATTAAAACCAATACAATTTTGCAACAGTTAAAATTCCCTGATGAATAATTTTAGGGAATAAGATTCTTCAGCATCCGTAAACAGGTAACCATCTATCAGATAACATTATATTTTATTTAGTGATACAGATCTATGGACGTGTTGTGTTATATAGATGGGTGGGTTTCTCTCATCATGCATTTGTTTTTTAAAGTCTAGTTTTCTTGTTTACTCGCATGGGTGTCCATTTATGAAAACCAACTTTTTTTAATTCCATGTAAATTCCCCAAAAATTTTCAGATGCAAGTTTGCAACATTTATAATTCTGAGATAAATAATTACAGGAACTAAGGTTTCTCAACATAGTTGAATTAAAAACCTGAACAATAAGTACAACATATTTTAATTGCTGCAAAAAACTTATTAATAAATTTTATTATAAAATTTTCTTCAGTAATTCACGTTATAAATATCTGTATCTTGAAATACAAGCAGTATCATCTGAAATTTAAAAATCTTCTCTCTCTCTCTCTCTCTCTCTCTCTCTCTCTCTCTCTCTCTCTCTCTCATTTTGTTTAAACTGAAAATAGAAACAATGTACTACTATCAAGTTTTAATTGAAAATATTCAATATGTACTGTCTATAGACTGATTCTGTCAATTATGATAACAGTATTAAAATATCTTATGTTTACATGTGGTGGCCGCCATTTAGGTAATAGCTGACATAATTGACTTTTGACTACCTTAATCTATATACATAAATTGACTTTTCCAAACCCTCTACTAGAAATCAAAGTAAATACAATGCAAAATAAATAAAGGCACCAGTAGTCATTATCAGTCAAAATATCTGCATCCTCTCTTCACAGTGCTTTTCAGTTGAATTACGAAACTCATTTACAAACAAAGAATCAAACAGCATTATTCATCCTTTCATTATAACATTTGTTGCTTATACGACTATATATATAACATAACTTATTTTGATAATTAGTCAAACAATGTTGATTTAGTTTTAACCTTAATGTACATTTTCTATCTGTGCATTGTTTTGCAGTTGTCGCTTGCGTCAAAACCTCATTCACAGAATCATGAAAACCAAGATCACACACTCCGTTGACTATATCACTATACGAGGGCTTTTTAGAAATTATTGAAACTTTTACTTTAACTCTAATGAAGAAAGAGTTCGATTCATTGAAGTTTACCAGAGTTTTATCAAGAACAAAAAAGAGCACTGCAGAGATAATCACGTCATTTTGACGTCAATTCAGCGTTATATAGTTTTTTCTCATATTGATATCGGAAAAAACATCAACTGGTGTTGCAACCCCAATGATATCTGTGAACTATATTAAGTCGGACGCGCACCATGCATTTGGTACCAACTTTAGGTCTGGTGACGTTAATTCGTCTGTTATAACTGACAATCGTCCAGCTCCTTCTTTCGATATGGTGAAATGATCTGTCAAAAATGTTTAAATTAACGATGAATTAAAGTCCTAAACACATTTTCTCTGCATTGTTTTTGTTTTAGAAGGTCATTTGTCTGAACAGTTCAATACTCAGCTGTACACAAAAATTAATGTATGTCCGCTGCTCCGCCTTGACGTCAAAATTCATTTAAGAAATGAATCCTATATTTGTTATTTGATCGATGTATCAAAAAAACTTGGACGGAAAACTTATCAATTCCAGTAGCGCATTGATGAAAAAGTTTTCCGTCCAAGTTTTCTTTGATACATCGATCAAAGAAAAAAAATTGTAATATTTATTTCTTATCATTTAATATTTATCTTTCAGTGATTACATTCAACAGGATAATGAACGACTGAACAACACAGAGATTAGTTTGAAAATATATGACCTAAATTTTCAGACGCGGAGTAATACATAAAGAAAAACGTTCTCAAATATTTTCATTCTGTCATTACCAGCTGTTTCTAACAAGAACAGTTTTAACACAAAAAAAACTTACCAGTTCTGTTATTAATTTTTGCTATATCCCATTGGGTATGTATTTACTTCTGCTGATTTCTTATATATTGTTCGTAAATGTAAATTAAGGGAAGATACTCAAACATAAACCTGACAACTCTCTAGGTCACCGAAATTTTGGATTTCATTTTCGCATCTCTTCATCTGAATTTCATATCGAACATATGCCGGTATATACGTTTCATAACCTGTCCATGTATAACACAACATACTGTAAAATCTGAAAGAGTCAGCAGTTGTCGACTGTTTAAAACTGAAAGAATATCTGGCCTCGCTTTACTGTCGTTTTTCTCATGCATTCGTTTTCTAAGAACAAACAGATTAAAGGCATTTTCCTGCTATGGTAGTATATAATTTTTTTTTCACAGTTCTATTGTTTATACCAGTCATCTCAAAGACAAACTTTTATTGTATGATGATGTCTTTCCATTTTTCCCGTAACTGCTTTGTTGTCAAGCAGACGATCTGATTTGTTTAGCAAATGAAGATAATTCGAAAAGAAACGAAAGTAGAAAGTAACTATAGACAAATTTTGAAAATCATGAGAATAGAGTAAAAGTATTTAATTTTCTTTCACAAAGTAATCTGGAAGGGGGAAACAAAGTAGTTCCAGCTGCTTAGTGCAAGTGAACTCCAGATTCTATTAATGCGCAGTAATCAAAAGATTTTTTTATCCAATCAGAATCAATTAATATTTTAAAGAAATTAAATGATTTGAGGGTCAATAAAGTGTTAATTACTTTTCCACGGAATTATTCTTGAGATTTGTCCGGGCATAGGACAGAAACCCCTCAAACTCGTACCTGTCCTCCTGGTACAGACACATCCAGGACACAGACGTGTCCGGGTACAGGACACAGACGTGTCCGGGTACAGGACACAGACGTGTCCGGGTACAGGACACAGACGTGTCCGGGTACAGGACACATCATGACATTGAGGGCCCGTACATGAAAATGTGCCTGTCTAGGTAAAGATACATCCAGGACACAAACCTGCCATTGAGACCCAGATTTTTCCTGGTACAAATATATTCAAGACATGGACCTGTCCGGGTATATCAGAAACAGACTGTCACCCATACTTATTTGTGTAGATTAAGTCGTATGCTTTATGTTATCGATAGGAAATCCTCATATTATCTATAAATATATATATATATATATATATATATATATATATATATATATATATATATATATATATATTGATTCGTTCGTGTACATATGCCTTTTCAACAACCATTTCAAATCATTTACTAGATTTCTTTGATTTATCTTTAGTTCACACAATCATTTAATATTTAATTTATTGTCTTGATTGTAAAACGTTTCTATAACACTTACAAACGCATTTTCCTTTCTGTGGAATTTACTCGCGCTTCATAAATAATAACATATAATAAGGAAGGTATTTTCTTATGAAAACGTAATCGATTACGACATGCTTTATAGGTTATTTCTTTTAAGAGTCCAGATGAAAAATATCTCACGTTAAACGAAGACGATTTTTATCTCTGGGTCTTTGAATAGCAAAAATAAATATATTGTCATATATAAAAGTTTTATTCTTTTACCGGATCTGTTAATAGAGATAATACGTCATGAATACACCCATCTTTATTATATACATTTAATTAATAGTGTCTTATTTCACTTTCCACTATAGTAGTTGTAACATATCAGCATAAATATTCTCAGCCAAAAAGTATCTTTGATATGAACTGTGCATGGTGATAATGTGATTTTAATCAGTTTATAATCACAATGCATGCATATTCAATGATAATCGTTTCTATAACATCTACTCGCAAAATTTAATACTAACAAATATGCATTCTTGTTCCACTAGAATAAATCCAGTGTTGTGTTACTTGCATTTAGCATATCTGACGTACAATGTATTCTTTAATTCAAATGCTAGTGTACCTGACTGCATTAAAGGATATCCTTTTCAAATATTTTTTCATGTTTGCTGAGGGCATACGTATCTCTGACATATCTTAAAACATTTTAATTGACATTTCATATCTTTATTAAATTTTACATTTTCACGATTAGTACACAGTATTTCTCTTTATATCTCTTCTGTTTTAAAGAATATGTTAATTCACAGGATTGATGCCTCTGTAATACCATGATCTCAAATTGCAAAAGTTTAATTGTAAATGCCTTCATTTGTATGGTAAACAGTGTTTTGTTGAAGGACGTAAGGTCTACGGACAAATGTACTGTCATAGACATTATCTGGATATTCCACGTATACACCTTCATCATTTTCTTTTAAATCATTTGAAAGGAAATGTTCCAAAGGAATCGATTCATATGCATCATGAGCATCTTTCTCTATCGAGGACGTCATTACCTCATCAGTTGCGTCCAGTCCTTGTTGAGGAGACCTTTCTTTCAACATCCTGCATTTTAGTTGAAGAAGGTTAAGAACATACAAAAGCCCTCATAGTAAGCAAGCATCATCATAGAATTAGCAGCTTTTCTACGACGATACAATTGTTAGTAATTAAACAAGATCCAAAACAAAATACAATAATGAAGTAAAAAATGATTATACCTTGAATGAAATCCCTTCAATATTATCACTCCAATAATAATTAATGCGGCCACAAAACCAGATATCCCAATAAATATGTAAACTATAAAATTTAGAAAAGTATATAAAGACACTCTTAATTTTGTTTAACTTAATCACTTTTGAATGCTTATGCATTGCATTTCTGATTGTGTAAACCTAGAGGGTTTAGAATGGACATTTTATCTGAACATTTTAAACTTGGACTATATTCATAACATAATTATTTTAGTTAATAATAATGACAGTAAAATAAAATAAAAGTTTGTTAATCGGGGATTTACATTGTTTGTGTACCACATGCAGTGATTTTATAATTGGAAAAGAGACTTTAACATCGTGAACTATAATTATATTTTTAGATCAAATTGGATGTTGTTATTGATACAATGAACCATACTTTTGTAAACTCATATGTAATGGAATTGATCAGAATAGACCAATCAAGCCCATCGATACTAAGTAATAAAATTTGAACAGAAAAGTAAATTAACTATTAAGATTCTTGATTAAGAGTAATAAAATTGGGAACTTTGAAGCAGATAAGTAAAGGAGCCTAGGGCTAGAAATCCTGTGGTGCAGAGATGGGAACCGAGTCCATAAATATTATTAATGAAGGTATACCTGGATTGGAGGGTTGTGTCATGTTGGGGTTCATAGGTCAACGGACAGACCCACGGACTAAGCGTAGGTGGCATGACGATGGTAAGTCAACCAATGAAAAGTACTTTAAAATCCGGGACCATGAATACCCTCTGAGCATAAAATACCCTGTTTGCCGGAAAGCGGCATTTTTGGTTCTTTACTCTATCCTTCTTTTTTCGACCATTCATTAGGTATCTATTGACTCTTAGGATTACAAATTGGACTCTAATTTTAATTATTACTTTTGGAGTTTTAGTTCTACGCTCTTCTGGAATATTTGGGACGGATCTTTAAAACGTTTGCCACAACCAGCGTATGGGTCTATTCTGGTGAAATTTCAGAAACAAGCATTTAGAAAATCTATACGATCACGGTAATTTAATAAACTTTTCACAAAACTTACGAATTTTGTTTTTGGTTTACAGTTATCCCAGTTACAATTTTTTCAACTTGAATAAAATATTACATATGAACATGTTGTATATTACGATTTATAAATATGGTCGACTCTTACCTTTGTCTTCGGGAGCAAGAGGAGATGTATCGGTAGGAAGTACTGTTCAGAACATAAATATGAATTATACTTAAACATTCCTATTCTAGAAAATAGTCTTTGACTTATATGAAAAAGCTTCCACTTTATTTAAAAATGTAACACTTATAAGAAAGATGTGTTTGCCGACCTGAAGACCTTTCAAGAGATGGTATTGTAGCGTCATATTTGAAAGTTATCTCTAATGTTGATGATTTATCGTAAGTAGGATTGTATGCAAGTGTATGGGTCATCGTAATACTAGGGTCTACATTTTTAGTTAATTTAGATGTTTCTACAAATTAACAAAAGGAGTATTGCTAATTATCAAAATGAAGCCATTATATTTTTGTAAAAACTTTCCGTAATATTTATTTAAAAATTTTAAGCGTAAAAGCTAGATTTGTTTGTCTACCTGGAAATCTTTCAAGGAAGGTTAAATCTGTAGCATCCTGTTTAAAGATCCTGCCTGATGTTGAAGCTCTTTCACTGATGGAAGCATTTACAAGTGCCTGGACTGTCCTTAGATTGCGGCTTACATTTGTAGATGGTTTAGTTTTTCCTAAACCTTTATAATGTGATTTGATTAAATAATCGTAACAAAGCAACAGAAGGATTCAGTTTGCCCCAGTATGTCTGAACAATTCATCACTCACAGCCAACATGGCTTAAACCTTACAAAGTTGGGATTGGATAATCTACACACACATTACAACTGCAAAATGCCAAGTTTATCGATCTGTAACCTTTTCATGTACGTTCGAATTCAGTTTTGACTTTTTAATAAAATAATCTAATATTAAGATAAAATATGTGTTTTAAATTTTTTGAACATTTATTCTCTCTTTCTCTCTCTTTCTTTTTCTCTCTCTTAAAGTTTCAAAGAATAGAAGGGACTGATTTTTTTTCAATCTACTGTTCTGTTAAGTTATTAAGCGTCCCAAATGAATCATGAGGAATATTGCTCAATGCGATTGCCTTTGGGTAGTCAAACTTTCTAGGGTATTTGTTTCGAATATATTAAACTTTTAATAGGTTTAAATGGTAACAAATTATTCTGATATATCTTTAATTTTTCTAGTTGTTTATATATAGCTTACGTTTTTTGAAGGTGAAGGGAATGAATAAAAATACTTATAAATCAAAATAAAAGTACAGTTTCTGAATTCTTATCATGATCACTCACAATTACAGTATTTCATTTCCTAGGTCTGTATTTCAATTACATGTACGTTATTTTACAAAACGATTTACCTGTTAATTCGGTCGCCCTTGTGGCGTAATGGTTAGAGCTTTTGCTCTAGAGTCGCGGAGTAAGGAGATGATCCTTATGTTGCGGGTTCGAATCTTACTGCGGGACGTGGAAACCAGTCCTTCCGTGAGACCGTTTAAACCGAGTTCCCTAGCGCAGTAATTGCTGATATGAAAAAGATCCCTCATTTCTCAAAGGCGACGAGTGCCGATCACATGTCTAAATTTGCAGCCCTCTCCCAGCAAGTGGTATTGTCTCAATATGAGTGAAAAATTCTTCAAGGGACGTTAAACAAAATAAACAAACAAACCTGTTAATTCTGAGCTTCTTGAATTAAACGTCGTTTGCGGGCGTGTTGCTAATAGAGTTGGCTGTGTTTTTAACAAAACAGAGTTTGTCTTTTTTGTTTTAATCGAAGATGTAACCATCATTTTTGTTGTTGTAGTAGCTCTTGTAGTTGTAAAAATATATGCAGTCCGTCGTGGTGGTTGTGGTGAAGTTACTAAAGTTAAAAGTGGTTTTAAACATAACGACAATGACATCCAATGTAGAATAATAGAAAAAGGAGATGTTACCTGTCCAAGAAAGATTAAATCCTTTTGCAGTGAATGATTTGTCGGATATGAAGGATATCCTGATTTTCTTCCCTCTTGTGTAAATGGACATTCCCTGCTTTTTACCACATCTATGAAATGAAGTTAAGCAGCATGGTTCAACCTCCTTAATCTGCAAATAAATGATAATGCTGGTTTTAGTTAAACATACATGTACCCAACATACACAGAAAGAGAAAGAGATACTTCCAAACAAAGATACATTTCAGGGAGCAGTGAATGTTCAATTATCTTTGTTCTTCATTAAAATAGTTACTGTTGTAAAGAAGAAACTTCAGACATACAGTGCTACAAAATATTTAAGAAGTGATGTGAGGCAAATGCGGATTTTCAAAAACTTCACGGAACTTTAAGAAAATTTGAAATCAAGTTTTCCCCCTCCAAGTTAATATACAAAAACATATGACATTTCAACGCTTTGTGCAATTAATCCTGATGAAAAATTTAAGACCAAACTTTTTTGATATTTCAGACAACCACTTCTTCATTAAAAATGAAAATTATAATTTTCGATTTCTTGTGATTAGTCATCTGCAAATGAACTTTGTTGAAAATCAGTCTTATTCTACATACAGGTACACCGTAGTTGATATTAAAAAAGATGCTAGAGTTCCACATCGACATCTAAGTAGGCTTTTGAAACCAGGGCATCCAACAATCTTTCGGAATTCCGATTGGCTCTTATTGTGCGGCTTTATCAACCGACTTGTTTATATATTTATATGAATCAAAATTATTCAAAACCAATGTTACCCTCATTCATATGTCTACATGGCTCGAAATCAAAGACACCAAAGAGCGTGTTCCAAGTGCGATCAATTTTTAAAGGGTGTAGGCTTCTTGACAAACAAATGATGCTCCAGGACATTTTCGTTAAGTGTCCACAATTTGCAACTTTCTCATATTTTTTTTTTCGCAAATGTAAATGTGTTTTTATTAATTGTTAGGTCATTGTTTTATATTAATTTTGACAAGAGATTACTCTATTTACCTTATCAATACTAGGGCTTACAGCTAGTGTGACCCGTTGTCAAGAGATACCTATTCCTTCTTGGTATCTAAGCCTACCTCTCGTATTTCATCAGGTCCGCTTTTTGTCCTGTTCACAATTTGTATTGATTACCGACTTTATGAGAATGCTTGTTCACCTTCAGTTACTGTATCTATATCCGACACATACAGACTAATATTACCTCAAGATAGTCGTCGCATGGATTCCATTTCCTGATATCCATATCATAAATTTAAAAGAAACGTTAGCTGCATTGGATCCTGTTCTAATTATCCAAGTGTGGTTTGCATTGTTTGGATAGTTGTTAGGGTATTCAGGTGAATGAAACTGACCCTTCTCTGTGTCAAAATATTTCAAGCTTGTGGAAGATGCCAATACATCGTCTGAAAAATACACAAAAGGTTAGCCAGCAATTTCTTGTGAGCATGATTATAACAAAATTACCCTTATCATTCCTTACCATAGCATAGTGCGATAAACAACTGAATAGCTGGAAAGTACATTCTCTCATCCATCCAATCTTTCAAAGATTGTTTCGTTTTTTTTTTTTTTTTTTTTTTTTTTTTTTTTTTTTTTTTTTTTTTTGGTTATGTTCTGGCATGGAAATTGCACAAGGAAAGATAAATATTTATGCCTATGAAAGGTTTATACGGAAAAAGTTATAATTACTATTTCAGAATATGGTCAGTAATTTTAAGGAATATATTTAATAAGTTATAGGAAACAATGATTTTGATAACATTCTAAAAATTAATTAGAATTGCACACGTA